CTCTGGCTGGGTAAGTCAGAGCGCCGGGGGGCGGGGAGGGGTCTGGGGGTTACATGCTTTTTCATGTAATTAGACAAGTGGATTATAATGGGGAATATTACACTGTAATGTTCCCTATTATAATCTATTTATCTGATTAAATGATTACAGGTAGGCATGTGATCTATCAAAGTTTGAGACTACATTAGAATGTGTGACCAGTGACGTGGTCACACATTTTAACGTAATCTCGCCCAGTTTTTCGGCGGTGGAATAGGTGAAGAATTCCAACGCTTTCTCCGCTGTTCCAGGGCAGATCGGCATCGCAAATCGCATGTGCAGGAGAACCGAGATAAAGGGGCCTAAGATAAAATCTTGCACCAGGGCCCTTTGGTTATTAGCTCCGCCACTGAGCTTGCACTATACGTTGCCATTAGAATGAAAAGGGACGCTATGGTAGGAGACCCAGGAGGACCCCACTGCTGACATAGAAACATAAAAAAGCCAGATTCCAGTTTGCCAAAACTTACCTGAGGAAGCCAAAATCCTTGGAGGAATGTGCTGTGGACAGACGAAACAAAATGACAGCTTTTTGGTAAAGCCCATCATTCTACTGTATTCAGAAAAAGAAATGAGGCCTTTAACCCTTTCGCTGCCAAGCTCTCTGGAACATTTTGCACCTCAGCTGGCCACGCCATCTTTGCAATTTTTCCCATTGTTTTTATTTTTAACTGCTGCGTTGCTAGCGTTTGTAAAAGACCCCCCCAAACCATATATTTTCTGAAAGCACAGGCACGGTAGAATAAAAAAATGGTGCTACTAAATTTGTAGGCCTTTGGGATAATTGGGCAAATGTTTCTCAAATTAATATTAAGCCGATAAAAATACACAATTCAATTAATAAAGCACACTAAAATCAGTATCAGCGCGCAAAAAAAATTATTTTATGATTAAATCTAAAAGATAAAACTGTATTGAGTTAATAAATAACAAATATTTGCAAATTTGAAATTGCATCTTTTTGCGAAAAGGTAAAAAAATGAAGGTAACTTATGTTAAAGATTGTTTTTACGCTGTGTAGGTGTTTGTGTTGTGATGAAATGATACAGGTGTATATTTAATTGCAACACAAGGTATCAACGCATGGCAATGCATCACAAAGCTTTGCCATGCGCTGCCACAGTTAAATGAATGTTTTTTTTAAAGAAAAAAAAGAAAAAAATCATGCACTGCGATGCATCCTAACAACGCACTGCAGCGCATGTGCATGGCGTACACCACAATATAGTGCACATGTGTGGGAGGGGGTGCTTTTTTTCATTAGTTTTTTTTACACATTTTTATTTATTTTTTTATAATTTTAATTTTTTGTTACATTTTTTATTTTTTTTTACTGTTGGGGGGGGCGGGAGGAAAGGGAGCTGCGGACCCCTGAACAGACCCCTGACATTTCCCTTTTGAAATGAAAAAAAAAATTGAGGACACAGTCCTCAATTTCTTTTTCTGCAGCCTCAGTGCTCAATGAATGGGAAGCACTCAGTACAGAGGCATCCCATTCATTCAGAAACTGCTGATAGTAAAATATTTATAGGGTTATTCACAAAGCTGCCGAAGGATCTAGCTGCTTACTGAACGCTGGGCGGAGCCAGCCGTCATCTCACGGCTGGCTCCAGCCACTTGCATGCAGAGACAGATCAGCGTCCCTGGTTACCTGTTAACCAGGGACGCTGATCTCTCATTACACTGAGAACCCGGTAGAGCTGCCATGATATCACGGCGGCTTCGCAGAGTTCTCAGTGTGTAATGACAGTTCAGCATCTCCTGGTTACCTAGTGACCAGGGGACGCTGAACTGTCATGGGAGCTTGTCGGAGCCGTCTTTGATATGACCGCCGGTTCTGGCAAGCTCTCATTGTACTGACAGCTGGTCCCGGACAATAGAAAACAGTTGGGTGGAGCTAGCTGTCACTGCTAGCTCCGCCCAATCATTTTCTACTTTTTTTGTCTACTTCTTTTATTTAGAGTTTTTCTATTCTGCTCGGTACCACAGAGGTACCGAGCAAAATAGCCGAATTCCGCTTGGCGGCTATTCACTCACTTCGGCCCCTATGAGCACTGGTTAGAAGAGGGCCCCCCCCGAGAGAGTGCCGCTCCTTCCCTGCCTGTAAGAGTGAGACTCACCTGGCCGCGTCCTCAGAGCGGCGTTCGGCTCCGCCCACTCCCTCAGCATGACTCAGTTCCACCGCAGCCGTCCCCCATAAAGCCGGGAGATTTGAAAATGCTCGAAAATGCTCAGTGTCATTGCTAAAGCGCTGAGCATTTCCCGGCTGGCTACCGCTTTCACTGCTGCTCCGTCCTGTACCTCGGCTCTTACCCTCCACGACGAGGCAGTCTGCCTGTGATATCTGCAGCCTGTCAGATCCCCTGCCTGGAGATAGACAATCTCCAGTATTCTACCTCGCTCTGCATGCTAAGCTGGGTGAAAGGGAAACAGCCAGACCCGGTTGCAGGATATCGCAGCCCAGCTCTCGGCACTCTGGACTTGCTTCCTTAAAGGCACTGTACACCAGAACAACCACTCAACAACTACCAGCTGCCATCCGGAGGAGCAAGCCTTATAGAGAGAGCAACTAATAGCAAGTATCATGTCCTTATATTGCTATAATTGGAAACGTGGGGAAATTGGGTGTGTGTGTGGGGGGGATGATGGTGATGTAGTGCTCACTTTTATTATAATGCATTGCTGGGACTTGTAGTCCCGCATAGCTGGTGTTATTTTGCATTGGTGTATGGTGATTATACAGCAATGCAGACTAGCACCAACTATGTAGGACTACAAGTCCCAGCAATGCATTCTATTTTTAAGTAGGGATACACCAGTGTTAATACTGGGCATTTTAACGAGTACTCATACTCAAGAAAATGTCCCGATACTAAACGCAGATTCCGGTGTTCTGTAGAACACCGACGTAGTCGAATTTGCCGACCTCAGCATCTGCGCTTGTGCACAGACCAATATTATCGAGGAATCCGGGATTTATTCACAAAGTATTTTGTTTAAATTGTTAATTGTGACTGTTAATAATATTCCATTCATCATTTACTGCCATGGACGGCATATTATTAACGGTCACAATTAACCATTAAAAACGAATACTGTAAATAAATGCCGGTTTCCTCGTTAATCCCGTCTGCTCGTAAGCGCAAATACCGGGTCGGCGTTCTCGACAGAACACCGCCACTAAATTTTAACAGGCGACTGCCTGAGGTCCAGCGCGTGCTGTGGACCTCGGCAGCCTTCCTGTTAATCATGCGGTGCCATGGCGGCTGGGGGGGGGCTTCATGGTTTCTTGCACCGGGGCCCTGAAGGTTCTAGTTACGCCACTGCCTATGAGAACAGGCCGAACAGCAGCGAGTAGCCTGCCGGAGGTTCGGATCAGCCGATCCACATGTTGGATCAGCTGAGTCGAACTCCTTCTGCCCTTTGGGTCAGCCGAACATGCTGAGCATGTTCAGCCGATCCGAACCCAGCCGCAGCAAGCCGATGTACGGCTAATTTAATTTCCCCTGACATTTCCCTTTTGAAATAGAAAAAGAAATTGAGGACATAGGGTCCTCAATTTCTTTTTCTGCAGCCTCAGCACTCAATGAATGGGAAGCACTCAGTACAGAGGCTTCCCATTCATTCACAAACTGGTGATAGTAAAATATTTACTATCAAGCTGTTTATGAATGGGGAGGAGCCTCTGTAGTGAATGCTACTCCCCATTCAGAAATTCATGAATGAACAGGAAGTGATGTAAATCACAGCCTGTTCATTCATAACTGGGGACACATAATAGTATGTGTCCCCAGTTATTTACAGATACCGGAGTGATCAGATGATCACTCCGGTGTTTGCTCTCCACACGAGGATCGGTAAATATCACTGATATTTATCGATTCCCCGTTCGGCCATGCACACAGCCGCTGTCATCCAGAACTGACAGAATGACAGTGGCTCCGTTCTCATCATCGCTCGGCCATCCAGCTGCCACTCGCTACTCCACCAGCTGAGGTGCCCAGGAGAAAATAACATGACACACTGCTCGCAAAGGCAGCGTGCCACCGCTCCGCGCTGCTTCGCCTGCAGTGTGTCACGGTCTTAAAGCCTCATTCAAACTGCCGCACGTATACTCGCTGTATATGCGCGCACGTGCGTATTGTACCATATGCAGCATATGCAAATAAATGGCTCCATACACATAGCTGCGTATGGAGCCGTATATTTGCGTAGCGTAAAAATGCGCAAAAACAGAATGGAACCAAGATGCGTCCGGACAGCGTATTTTACACGCATTTGTGTGCGTATACGCACGTACAGTTAATTTACATTTCTATTACAAATGATGCTTTCTGGGATTGCATATAGTGCACGCATATACATGCGTATTCATACTTGTATATACACGCGCATGTACGCGTAAATATAATTTTGCTCTTGCATTGTGTGTGAATGAGGCCTTAGAAACTCATTGATGGTTACAGGAAGTGATTGATTTCAGTTATTTTTTCCAAGTGCTGTGCTACCAAATATTAATTGAGGGTGCCAATAATTTTGTCCAGTCCATTTTTGGAGTTTTGTGTGGAATCTGTAAGATTTTGCTTTTTTGTTTCTTCACCTTTCTGTGTCATAGCAATACAAACAAAAGAAATAATCATGAGAATGCCTAAACATTTGTAATTGCAACAATTTTTTGCATTATCTGACAAAAATTCAGGGGTGCCAATATTTTTTACCATGATTGCATGTATATATATTTAGATATATGGATGAGACTGTCCAATGGAGGCACCAGTGAAAGGTATGGATTTCTGTGACACACTACTCTCTAGTTTACTAAGGAACTCTTTCCCTGCACCCATTCATTCATTCCCCTCCCCTGGGTAGCCCAAGCACAGCAGTGTCGCCCTGTAATGACGTAGTGAGGCCGTAACATCTGTTCTTTTCCTCCCCAGCTATGCCAGTACTTCGTTGATAGGCCGAGCTGCAGATCACATGACTGGAGTGACGTGTCTCGGGAAGTGGCTGCTGCTTAGATGCTGCAATCGGATCTAATCCAGTGTACGATAGTGTGACGTTCCGGAGAGCCGGCTGGACACCCGGGGACCAAATAGTCGTCCTAGGCCGAGTGTTACAAGGGTCCAGGTGTAGTTGTCACAGCCCGGCACCACCATGATCAAAGCCATCCTCATCTTCAACAACCACGGCAAGCCGCGGCTGTGCAAGTTCTACCAGCACTACGTAAGTGACGTCACCGATTGTGACAGAGGGGGCACAGGGGGTCCTGCCGCCCGGTCCTGGGATGTGACATCGCTGTGGGTCTAGCCCGATCACTAGACACTAGAGTTGTGTTTAACATATGGACCGGAGTAGACATTAGTCTCTGACTAAAGGAAGCCTGAATGCTGCCATGAATGTCTTCTCCTTTTTGTTGTCAGGCTGTTCTGCCGATCTAATGTCTTCAGTGCTAAAGCTCACCACACACGTTACAATCTGACGGTACAATCTCCTTTAAGCTAGCCATGCATGCCTCGATACCTAATGAATTGCCCAAAATCCGAGCCGTGGATGGCCCTTTAGGCACCCCTGGCATGACAAAAGTCGATCTTAAAACCAAAAGAGCCGGGTGCAAGATTGTCAGCCAATCAGCTGCAATCGAGTATTTAGGCGGCCTTGGGTGCTGCAGGTGCCAGATTACAATAGCTGTCAGTGCAGATTCCTCCACCCACGCTGTTCAACACAATGGGGGAATTGAGTGGTTTCTCAGACTGAACGACAGAAATCTCCACATGTATAGCTAGCCTTAGATCTACCAACAGCCATGTCATACAAGGGCCCGGCCTGATTGGACAGACTAGGTAGGTCCCCATATTACATAGATCTGGGAAATCTAAAGTTGATGGTCAGATTGTAACGTGTGTGGTGATCCTTAGTCACTGGCCTGCAGATAAGGAGTTCTGACTTCATATGTACTTCATGCTTGCTGCAGGTCAGTGGCTCCGAATGGGTAAGAGAATGTGCATGTCAGCCAGGCAAGTAGCATTTTTATACAGAAGTTACTTGTTGCCAGAGGCTTACAAAATCTAGTTTTCGGTTCCCTGCAGTAGAAGATCTGTTCTACTCCCCTCACCCACAGCCCGTGTCTCCTGCCTTCCCTTTCTTCCAGCACTGCACCCTCTGTCACCTCAGACAGTGCTGGATGCCTGTGTCATATAGTGATGTAGAGGGGATGGGAGGATGGGGCCCCAGCACACAGCAGGGACACAGACATCACACATTCCTGGAAGTGTTGAGGGTTGCGGAGCCCGCTGAAGGACCTAATGAGGGGTGCGGAGCCTGCTGAAGAACCTGATAAGGGGCGTGGAGTCTGGTGAGGAGTGCGGAGCCTGCTGAAGAACCTGCTGAGGGGTATGCAGCCTAATGAGGGGTGCTGAGCCTGCTGAAGAACCTGCTGAGGGGTATGCAGCCTAATGAGGGGTGCTGAGCCTGCTGAAGAACCTGATGAGGGGTGCACAGTGTGATGAAGGGAGCGGTGCCTGCTGAGGGGGGCACTCGAATAGAGGAGACACAGGCCTGCTGGAGAATTGGGTATAAGGACTCTTCTTTTGCAGGGAACCTAAATCTGAATTTTTCTTTTAAACAATTTACGGGTGACCATAAGCCCTGACATCGGACCTGTCCTGTAGCACGTCTACCCACTTCATCACTAAGGTTGTTGTCAGAATTTGTTTCTGTGTGCCCTGCTATATTTTCCAATGTATCATCTAGAACAGGGATAGCCAAACTTCAGACCTCCAGCTGTGGTGAAACTACAAATCCCATCCTCTGGAAGTCATGCCTGTTTTGCAGTGCCTCATGGGACTTGTAGTTTCATCACAGCTGGAGAGCTGAAGTTTGGTTACCCCTGTTCCAGAGTCTGATCATGGCAGTATGCAGTGAGGTGAGGAAGAGTCCTTCTTGCTGTATTTGGGGTCTAGACCTCTATTTTTCTGCTCAAGCTAATGGAAACAAATACCAAAACACTGCATTGAATAATTCGTGCATAACTATGATGTCATAAAAATGTGTGCTGGTGGTTGTCAAATAACAACATAACTTTCACTTGTGTGAACACCAGAATTTATAGGGATAGACATGACAAACACTCAAGAGTTGCCCTTTCTTTTCTAAACTGCTTATAGTAAGATACCTCCAGCCCCCTTTTACACCTTTTGTACTGCTTGATTTGTATTTCTGTCTGTGTTTCTTTTGCAGATTTTTCTTCACTTCTTGTCCTGTGAAACCGTTGTTAGCATGACAGGAAGTGATGGTAAATCTCTATATTGGAGCCCTGGATAGCAGTTGTAATCTTTCCCCACTCTATACAAAACTGGAACAAATGTTTTTTTCTTGACATACCCTTTAAGCTATATGTTGTTTTTATTTACTAAATACTATTTATTTAGTAAATATTTATAACAAGCATATGAAACATGCCTTTTACATTTTGATATACATAGATAAAGCCTAGGTGGTACATTGCACTATTATATAGGTATTTATATATAACTTTGTTATATATAAAATAACAAAGTTATACTCACCCGCACCACGATCTTGGTTGGCTCCTAGACTGGTCCCTTCAGCCTCGCTCTCCCTCCACTCCAGCGGTCTAAGACCTGTGACTTATCATATTCAACACAGTGTATAGGACTCTGAGGGGCATCCATTGTTGAAGCAGAGAGGGAGCAAGACTGAAGGGACCGAACTCGCAGCCAGCCAGCATCACGGTTGGGGTAGGTATAACTTTATTTTCACCCCTAGACAAAACGAGCACTTAACCCTTGCAGTGGGGGGGGGGC